ATGATGCCGCGCCCCCCCCCAGCTTTGCCCCTGGTGGCCCTCTTAGGCCATGCCGAGGAGACACATACTAGTGCTATAACTGCCAATTCTTCTCGAGCCGCCAGTGCGTGTGCGACTTTTAAAGTGAATTCGCGCGAGCGGGAACTCGTCATTCCGATGAACGCGATGCGACGATGACGACCGCAGCGACGGTACAAGTGATGACGATAACGATTGTGGGGACGTGGACGTGCACTACTACAAAGCTGATAAGATCGGCCGAACTTGGTGGAAAGGACCGTTTCCTCATATAACGCTCCTTACAGCAAGACGTTGATTGCATGCACATGCTTGAGCATGTTTACCTTCCCCTCAGCTATTTCACTCTCCAGCCATTTCTCACGGTGTGGCTGCGGCTTGCCTTCCAGCGCAGTGGATTGACAGCTAGCCAGGTCAGGGTCCGAGATCGATTCCCATCGGCTACAGAGGCATCCCGAGGAGTTTCATTTTTGTCGCAGACCTGGGGCCTCGCGCGCGGTATGCTTCCCGCCTCCCGCTGCGCCTCCTGCCCCGCCGCCCCGCCCCCCGCCCCCGAGCAGCGGGCAGAAGTCCAGGGGTCCAGCTGCCCTCCGGGGCTCTTGCTCGCTGCTCGGCTCCTGGACCGCGCCTGGCATGCCCGGGGCCGGCGCAGCCCCGGTGAGCCTCGGCCCGCTCGGCGATGGCCTGTGCAGCGTCGCCTGCTCGGCGGCTGGGCCTAGCAGGCTCTCGGCCGCAGACTGCCAAGCTCTGGCCTTTTTTTTTTGGGGGGGGGGGTTCAGACTCGGGGCAATGTCACCTTCAGGGCATTCCCCCCCCCTCCCCGCCCTCCCCCTTCCTCCCCCCCTCTTCGCCGCCTTTTCAGGCAAAGCTGGGCCGAACAGGCGGGCAAGCTTTTCCCGGCTTCCGTGAGAAGTCCAGATTTCCCGTCGGGCTCCTCCACGCACCCCCCCCCCTTTGTCCCCTCCACGCATGTCATTTTGTTAGAACTGAAAGAACAAGAACGGCCTCGTACCACCGCCCCGGAACCGAGGGCCTGGCGCGTGTGGGCGAAGCCGGACTCTGCTGGATCCGCCCAGCCCACCAGTTTCGGCGAGTGCGCAGGCTGTGCGAGTGACGGCCCGTGTCTGGTCTGGCCTCCGGCTGCTCGTGCACCAGGGTCATGATGACGGCATGAGTGAGGAGGCGGAGGAGGGCGGAGGCGGAGCGGGTCGGGCGAGGCACCGACGACAGCGTCCCTGAACGCTGTGAGAAGGCCGCGGCGCCGAAGACATCCTCCAGAGCCGCCGGACCTCAGAGATTATCGATTTATCTTCACCCGATGTCATCCTCGTCCTGGCTTTGTCTTTGTGGGCGGAGGCGGAGGAAACGTATGAGGAGGATGGGGAGGAGGAGGGGGTGGAAGTCGGGGGGGAGCCATTTGAGGAACCAGCTCAACTCGCAGCTGCAGATGAACCTGCCAGCCGCGCTCATGTTCGACTACCCCAGCCAGCGCTCCATCGCAGAGCATATCGTGGAGCTGAGCAAGCAGAAGTGAGTAGGGCCCGAGGCTGCTGCGCTTTCGTATATAGCTTTTTTTCTAGCTCCCATCGGATAATCGCCTGGCATCTTCCAAGGGTGCGACTGCCCTCGGGCTGCGTTCGGAGGTCGCGCTGGCGGCCGCTCTTACGCCGCTCCTGCCCTTCTAGTCCTCTCAGGGTGCCTCTCACGCCGTTGCCCTCTCCTGCTCTTCCCTGCACCTGCAGTGCCGTCTTGGGGCTGAGAGAGGGAGAAAATACACACATACATACATATGCACACACGCACATATATATATATATATATATATATATACATGCACATGCACACAGATCTGTATACACATGTCGAAGACACATACGGATAATCACGACCGCTCCTGGCCTTTCAGGGTACGCCTGTGTGGCCGAAGGTGGTGGCCAGAGGTCGGCCAAGCTATCGGACTGTGACTTCCCCTTGCCGTTGTGGAAACCCTTCGGGGAACACGTGTGCGGGGGGGGGGGGACAAGACGAGAATGATGAGAAGGAGTAAACGGGAGTAGGAGGAGGAGAAGAAGAGGAGGAGAAGAAGGAAGAGGAGGGGGAGGAGCAGGAGGAGGAGGCGGAGGAGGAGGCGTCCTTTGAGCCTCTCGTGGCACTTTTGGGACTCCTGGGGGCTTCCTGATTCGTGCCTTTTCGGGCCTTCTCAGCAGACTCCTTGGAGGCCTCTTGGGCCGTCGGCCTCTGGGGGGGCCCTTGGGCCGCCTTGAGGCGGTGGCTTCTTGGGCGGGCTTGGAGGCATCTTGGACCCTCGTGGACCGTCTTGGAAGCCATCTTCGACAATCTTGGGTGCACTTGAAGGCCATCTTGGGCCATCTTGGCCGTCGTGGAGCCGATGGGGTCACTGGATACCGACACTTGGGAGCTTTCTGGGTGGCCAGCGGCGTCGGCCGAAACCCCAGGGGGAGTCTTCAAACGAACCAGGGAGTAGTATAACCTCAGCACGCCGCGCTGGGCACCCGTGAGGCAAGACCGCAGGAGGCGTCGGATCGAAGACGCCTTACGGCGAATCACCGCCGCCCCCTCCCTTCTAGAATCGCCCATGCGGCCGAGCGTTGTGGCAAGAGCTCTGCCAAACTATCGGGCCACATGTTCCCCTAACCGTTGTGGAAACCCGGAACACTTGGGGGAGGATGGCGGGGAAGATCAGGAGGAGGTGGAGGAGGAGGACGAGGAGGAGGAGCAGCAGGAGGAGGAGGCGGAGGAGGAGGAGGGGCATTTTGGGAGCTTCTGGGGACACTCTTGGGGCCTCCTGGGAGCTCCCTGGGAGCCTCTTGGAGGCATCTTTGGTGCCCTCTTGGAGGTCTCTTCGGAGCCTTTTGGGGCTTCTCGGGGGTCTCTTTGACCTGTGGGCTCCTGGCCGGTCTGACGCCGTCGGAAACCGTCTTGGCGGCCTCTCTGGGCCGTCTTGGGGGCTCCAGGGCCGCCTTGGAGGCTTCCTTGGGCGACGTAGAGGCCTGTCGGGCCGTCTTTGGGCCCTCTTGGGTCCGTCTTGGGGGCCTCTTGGGCCGTTCTCGGCCCATCTTGGATGCCTCTTGGGCGATCTTGGGGCGATCTTTGGGGGCTCTTGGGCCGTCTCGTGCCGTCGGTAGGCCGAAAAGGAAGCAAATGCCAAACTCCCTCAAACACCTAATGAAACTCAATGCGTTTAGCCTCTTCGGGCCTTCCTGGAAGCCCTCTTGGAGGCCTCTAGGGCCATCTTGGGCCATCTTAGGGCCATCTTCGGGCTCCTGGCCCGTGTGACGCCGTCGGAAGCCGTTTCGGGGGCCTCTTTTGGCCGACTTGGGGCCCTCTTTGAATACTCCAGGGCCGTCTTGGAAGCTTTCTTGGGCGTCTTAGAAGCCTCTTGGGCAGTCTTTGGGCCTTCTTGGGCAGTCTTTGGGCCGTTCCAGGGCCATCTTGGAGGCCTCTTGGGCGACCTTGGGGCGATCTTTTGTGACTCTTGGGTCGTCTCGTGCCGTCGGAAGGCAGAACAGCAGCATATGCCAAACTCCCTCAAAAAACCGAAGGGCAATTAATGATTTTGGCATCTTCGGGCCTTCTGGAGGCCCTCTTGGAGGCCTCTTGGGCTGTCTGGGTCCATCTTAGAGCTTTCTTCGGCCGTCTTGGTGGGTCCCTGGCCCGTCTGACGCCGTTGGAAGCCGTCTTCGGGGCCTCTCTGGGCCAACTTGGGGCCCTCTTGGGGTGCTCCAGGGCTGTCTTGGAGGCTTCCTTGGGCGTTTAGAGGCCTGTTGGGCCGTCTGTTGGTCGTCTTGGGGCCGTCTTGGGGGCCTCTTGGGCAGTCCTGAGGCCATCTTGGAGGCCTCTTGGGCGCTCTGGGGGCGATCTTGGGGACCTCTTCGGCCTCTTCGGCCGTTGAAGGCCGAAACTGAGCATCTACGAACATCCTTCAGCAGCCATACGAAAATCAATGATTTTGGCCTCTTCGGAGGCCTCTCGGAGGCCTGTTGGGCCGCCTTGGAGGCCTCTTGGGCACCTCTTGGGCCCTCTTGGGCCGTCTTGGTGGCTTCTTGGGCGGACGTGGAGGCATCTTAGGCTCTCTTGGGTCGTCTTGGAGGCCATCTTGGACCATCTTAGGCCGACTCGGAGGCCATCTTGGGCCATCTTGGCGTCTTGGAGGCATCTTGGAGTCCATGTTGGGGCTATCTTGGGCGTGAAAGGCATTGACTGTAGCATTTTCCGCGTGGCTGGCGGGAAGGGCCGAAGCCCCAGGGGGGAGTTCTTTTTGGAAACAGAGCCACAACCCAAACCGAAAGGATCCAGCACGCCGCGCACCCCTGTGACAAGCACAGGGGGTGGCGGATTTAATGGCCTTCGACCCATCCAGCCACCGTGCCTGGGTTTTAGGTCAGAGGCCAATTTTAGCTCGCTTGGTCTGTTTTGGGGCCCCCTGGGCCTGAACAAGTCACGTGAGAAGACGCGCTGGGGCCCAGGAGGCACGCTGGGTTCCCGACCCCTTGATGACTGGGACTACAGAAGACCTGGCGATACTCCAACTTGTGCCTGGCGGCACGGTGGGATCGGCCCATGGTCGTCTAGAGGGGTTCGACACAGGGAGTGAGATTGGCGATGCCCTGGTCGATATCGGGCATCGCTGACATCGCATGCCCCTCCCCCCTTCTCCTCCCCTGGGATCCGACGCCGCGGAACAAATCCAACATCGCTAGTGATCATCATCGCAGCCCTAGAACCAGTCTTTCCACCGCAGTTCTCGAGCGGGATCGATCTGTGAGGGCCCCAATGCCCGACGCCAGGCGAAAACGCCGAGCTTGAACAGAAGAGGCACCGCGCCAGGATCTCAGAGCCCTGCTCCCCGTTTCCCGCCTCGCTGCCCCCCGCTTCGTCGCCGTTCGCGCCAGCGCGGGTTTCTAAGTGGGCTCCGCTCTGCGCAGCAGTGTGCGTGTCCATGCCCGCCTGGGAGGCCCCAAAAAGCGCGCGATCTCTCTCTCTCTCTCTCTCTTTCTGCTCCTGTCCTACCTCGTCACGGCGGCCTCCCCTCCCCGGAGGGAGGAGGAGAATGAGGAGGAGGAGGAGGAGGAGGAGGAGGAGGAGGAGGAGGAGGAGGAGGAGGAATAGGAGGAGGAGGAGGCGGAGGCGGAGGCGGAGGCGGAGGCGGCGGCGGCGGCGGCGGCGCGGAGGAGGAGGAGGAGGAGGAGGAGGAGGAGGAGGAGGAGGAGGAGGAGGAGGGAGGAGGGAGGAGGGGGAGGAGGGGGAGTGAGGATGTGGATCGGAGGGGCTCGATGTGTACACCATGCCGTTCTGCCGGCCAGAGGACCAACGGACTCGGCCAAGGGATCTGTGTAAGTACAGACGCTCCAGCGCCCCACTGGTTGCGCAACCGGGCCGCCTATACACAGAGCTCCCTAGCCGACCAGGCGATGCGCTGTGTACCTCGAGCCCCGCTAGGAGGAGGAGGAGGAGGAGGAGGAGGAGGAGGAGGAGAGAGGATGAGGAGGAGGAGGAGGAGGAGGGGGCGGTGGAGGAGGAGTGGAGGAGGAGGGAGGAGGAGGGGAGGAGGAGGAGGAGGTGGAGGACGAGGAGGAGAAGGTTGGGATGCGGAGGAAAAGGTTGGGATGCGGAGGAGGAGGAGGTTGGGATGCGGAGGAGGAGCAGGAGGAGGTTGGGATGCGGAGGAGGAGGAGGAGGAGGAGGACGAGGAGGAGGAGGAGGAGGAGGAGGAGGAGGAGGAGGAGGAGGAGGAGTGGATGCGGAGGAGGAGGAGGCCCCCTTTGGGAACTCCAACCGTTCGCGGTCAACTTGTATATCCGATGCGTCACGACTTTGGTAATGCCCCCTCGCCTGTGGCAGGATTATCTCCCATTGTGCTCTGCCCCATCCATGTGGTCCATCGGAGTCATACCCATCTTGACCACGATTCAGAATTCACGAGGCAGTACATGCCTGGGACTTTTCTGGGCCCCATTGGTTTTCGTTGCTGGTTGTGTGTGTGTGGGTGGGTGTGGGTGTAAGTGTGTTCGTTCGATTGCTGTGCCGCGCGGCTGGGCGACCCCACCGTGTTTTGTGGCATAGTTGTATGACGCCATCGGTCGACGTTTACGATTATGGTGGTGTACATGGGCAGTTTGTTGATCGTCGCCGACCTCAGGGACGTAGACACGAGTATGTAGTGCTGGCTGTAGGGATGGCTTGATGAGACGCATGTGGTATCATCATAATGCCATGTAGAGAAAGGAACGGCCAACGGGAGAGATAGAGCGCGAGAGAGAGAGAGAGCGAGAGAGAACGAGAGGGAGCGCGAGGGTGTGAGAGATATGTGTGCGTACTGGAAATCGCATTTAAACACATACATCCCGATCCATACTTACATATGTACATCAGATGTCGAATCATGTTCTTGACTCGACAATGCATGCACATAAATATTCATAGATGTATTCCGTTCGTACACCAACCATACTTACATACAGCTGTTCGTCACGCGTATTGTTGTCTATGTGCAGCCAATTCTGGGCTATGCCACAACACGGCGGGGTGGCATGGAGGAGGGCGGGCTCGCAAGAGCGGCATGGGGCAGGTGGGGACGGGGAGTGGAGTTCGTGGAGGGAGGAATGGGGAGGGTACGTGCGGAGGAAGCCTGGCATCGCTCGGACGTGTGCATCTTGTGTTCGACGACGATCCTCGAGGAGCATCTTGGACCACCGTGCGAACATTAGGAGCACGCACGGAACCGAGCAGCGCACGAGGAAACCGCGCCCGAGCGATGGCCAGAGGAAGGGGGGGCTGCGGGGAGGGGGGGGCGTCGGTCAGGTCAGGCGGGCCCTGGCGCTCCTTGCCCCCGCTCTGCGGGGGCGGAGCGCAAGTGGCGGAGGAGGCAGGACGACGAGGCTGGGCCACGGAGGCGGACGTTCGGCCTCTGAGCACGCCCAGGGCACCTCTGCGCACCTGACAGTCCGAGCATGTCCAGGGGTGCACGCCTGGCCTCCCGGCGGATGCGGGGGAGGAACGGGGGAGGAACCGAGGAGGAGGATGAGGAGGGGGAGGCGGCCGAGGGGGAGGAGGAGGAGGAGGAGGAGGAGGAGGCGGCGGAGGAGGAGGAGGAGGAGGAGGAGGAGGAGGAGGAGGAGGAGGAGGAGGAGGAGGAGGAGGAGGAGGAGGAGGAGGAGGAGGAGGAGGAGGAGGAGGAGGAGGAGGAGGAGGAGGAGTAGGCGGAGGAGGAGGAGGTGGAGGAGGACGAGGAGGAGGAAGAGGAGGAGGACGAGGAATAGGATGATGATGATGATGATGATGATGATGATGATGATGATGATGATGATGATGATGATGATGATGATGATGATGCTGATGCTGATGCTGATGCTGATGATGATGATGATGATGATGATGATGATGATGATGATGATGATGATGATGATGATGATGATGATGATGCTGATGATGATCATGATGATGATGATGATGATGATGATGATGATGATGATGATGATGATGATGAGGAGGAGGAGGAGGAGGAGGAGGAGGAGGAGGAGGAGGGGGATGATGATGATGATGATGATGATGATGATGAGGAGGAGGAGGAGGAGGAGGAGGAGGAGGATAGGGGGAGGAGAAGGAGGAGGAGGAGGAGGAGGAGGAGGAGGAGGAGGATAGGGGGAGGAGATGGAGGAGGATAGGGGGAGGTGGACCTCTGGGCTGCACGGCCTTCGACACCTCCGCGCGCGCCTGCGCCTGCGCCGCCGCCCCCTCGGCTCCTTCCGAGCTCTTACGGAGAGCCGCCCCTCCCCCCTGCCGCACGAAGAGGCCTCGGGCTGGAGGCGGCCTCCAGCGTCCGCGCGCGCCTCCTCCCGCGCCCCGTGGCGCTCCGGACTGGCGGCCGGTGGTGAGTCCAGCCGTTAGACAGTAAACCACAGAAGCCTCCGCTCATCTCGCATAGAATGTGATATCGGCGAGTAGCGTCCACTGGCGCTAGCGCTCAAAGGCGCCAAATGGCTCCCCACAGAGCCCAACAGCGCCCAAGCAGCGCCCAGATGGCGACTGACAGCGCCCAGAAGTGCCATGTTTGGGAAATGCATGATATCCGCAGTGCGCACGATTGGGCGCGCTCGTGGGCGTAATGGGGCAGGACCAAAGCTTCGATGAGTTGCTTTCTAGCGGCTGGGGCTATCCGCGCCAGGTCGGCGTGGGAGGGAGGGGGGAGTGGTGTGGGGCAGGGGGCTGGAGGTCAGAGGAGAAGGGATTTACCGATGCCCCTGCTCGTCCTGGAGGGCCCTCGGCACCTTGGATGATATGGATAACGCTGGCGGCGATGCTTCCGTATTCAAGATCGACGTGTTGTCTTTCTCTTTTGGGCATTTTCTTTTTGGGCTGCCGGTTTTGTGTTGTTCTGTATTGGTTGTCCGAAAAAAATCCGACAAGTCGGAAACGCGTAAACAACACTCCCAGCGGGTGCTTTTCAATATCAGCTAAGCTCGGTACCACGGCCGGAATCTTTCCTCCTCGAGATTCAGGACAGATTGCGTCCCCGAAGGGGTCTCAGGAGAAGAGGTCTCTCGGTCTATGTTTGTCTTCTCAGGATGTGGGCGGGGCGCGGCGGAGGGAGGATGCGGAGGAGATGGGGAGGGGTGTGAGGGTGGGGAGAGGGAGGGAGGTGAGAGGGGGAGGAAGTGGGGAGGGGGGGGGCAGTGGAAACAGGGGCAGGGACGGGGGGGGAGGGGGAGGGAGGAATAAAAACAGGGAGGAGATGGAGGAGGATGGTGACAGGGGGGGGAGGTAAACGGTGGAGGAGAAGGGGGAGCAGCAGTATGATGAGTTTGAGGTGGAGGCGGAGAAGCAGGGTGATGATGACGATGTTGATGATGATGATGATGATGATGATGATGATGATGATGATGATGGTGGTGGTGATGATGATGATGATGATGATGCTGATGATGATGATGATGATGGGGATGATGATGATGATGATGATGATGATGATGATGCTGATGCTGATGCTGATGGTGATGGTGATGATGATGATGATGGTGATGCTGATGATGAGGATCAGGATGAGGATGATGATGATGATGATGCTGATGCTGATGCTGATGCGGATGATGCTTCTGCTGATTATGATAATGGTGGTGATGGTGGTGGTTGTGATGATGATAGAAAGGATGGTGGTAGTTGTGATGATGAGGATGAGGATGATGGGGCGGAGGATGGTGATGTTGATGATGCTGCTGCTGATGCTGATTTTGATGATGATGCTGCTGCTGATGATGATGGTTGTGGTGATGACGATGATGATTCTACCAGTTGTGATGATGATGGCGATGCTGATGATCATGATGATGATGTTGATGATGCGGATGATGATGATGCTGCTGATACTGATGATGAATGTGATGATGAGTGTGATGATGTTGACGCTGGTGATAATGTTTCTGATGTTGCTGATGATGATGACGACCACGATGGTGATGATGGTGATGCTGATGGTGATTCTGCTGCTGATAATGTTGCTGCTGATGATCATAATGATTGTGATGATGCTGCTGATGATGATGGTGGTGATGAGTTTGATAAAGCTGCCGATTATGATACTGATGGTGAAGATGATGATGATGCTGACGATGCTCATGATGCTTATGATGAGGGTGGTGATGATTAAGATGCTGCTTATGCCGACGATCACGACATTGACGACAATGGTAATGATGATGACGATGATGATGGTGATGCTCATGGTGACGGTGATTTTGCTGATGATGGGTATGGTGATGCTGGTGCTCATGCTGATGCTGATGATAATGCTGCTCATGCTGATGCTGATGATGATGCTGCTGATGATGCTGCTGATTATGCTGATGATGATGATGATGATGACGCTGGCGATGATGATTGTGATGATGCGGATGACGATGATGCTGACGACCACGATGCTGATGATGGTGATGATGATGGTGATTAGTTTGCTGATGATGCTGCT